AACATGAAACCACTATTACAAATTACCATCTGCAGTGCAGTAGCTTAGTTTGCAGGTATCAGTATATATAGTTAGTCAGGGTGAGAATCTTTCCAATTAACTCCTAGATTAAAGAATCTTCTGAATAGACAGTTACTTTATTTCTGACCCAGGTTCTAGTTTAGTAACATGCATTGTGTTCAGTAGCCAGTTTCTCTGCCTTTATTTTTTACTTACAATTTTGAGATTTTTTAAATAGTACTAGCAAATTATCTTGTAGAATTTCTCTTAATTTGGGTTTGTCTGGTATTTTGTCAAGATTGGATTCAGGTTACAAGGGCTGGGGAGATAGCTCAGTGGCATAAGCACCTGCCTGGCAAGTGCAAGGTCCAGAGTTTGATCCCTGGTACTGAAACAAAAAAAAAAATGGATTCAGGTTATAGATTTTTGGCAGTGACAAAAGTGATTTTGTGATTTTCTCAGTAGATTGTATCAGGAGACCCATAATATTGATCTGTACTACAGGAGGCACATCTTGACATTTTTCCTTTTTTGGTAGTGTTAATTTGATGATATCATTTAGTTAAGAAAGTTATCATTTTCCCCTGTCATTAAAAAAGTAATTTGTGGGGAGATACCTTGCATCCAGTTCCTCTTGAAAGGTTTTGCCTAAGTTTTAACATCTACTGATGATTCTGGTCTGAATCAGTAATTTCAGTGATGGTTAAAGAATGGTGATTTTGTAACTCTGTTAACAAATGGACATTCTGTATAAGGAAGAGCATTTCATTTGCTCTTGTTTATCATTCTCTGGAATCATAGATTTATGTTCTGTTCAATAGGCTGTAATTCTTTACTGTAATATTTATTTTGATACTCATTTTGATAATGTCAAATTGTACCAGATTTGGTCCATGGACAAAATAGTGACATTTAACCTGCACAGTACCAGGGCTTTTGCTTCTTGCTTGCTGATGTATTCTAAGTATAAAAGTGACTCAGTAAGTGTTTTTTAAATGAATAACTGACACTTCTAACAGGACCCTCTAGTCACTGTCTAAAGACCCTGTACCCAAAGGGGAATAGAGGAAAGGAGTGTATCTATACGAGGGCATTGTGATAATCCAGGTGAGAGTTGATACTGGTAAGGACTAAGGAGGTAACCATGAGGTAGTGAGGAGTGATTGGGGTTTTGGATCTAGTTTGAAAGTGAAGTAATGAAGACTATGTTGGATTGAAGAATAGGTACCCTGTGTGCATTGGACAACCACTAATCATTCCAGTTAGTTGCTAGTGGGGTTGCTGGCTTATTGTTACTCAGTTCTGCTTGTTTATTTATTTAGTAAGGACTTCTAGATTTTTTTACATGCAGTCTTGAGATTCTCAAATGTTAGCACAGTGTTCTTGCTAAACACTGCAGAGCAAATAAAAAGCATCTATTGAGTGAATGTGTTTCCTGAAACTTTATTTTGCAATTTCTGGTTTATTTTTTATTCTTTTGTATTTTAGGGAAGGGTCTACAGGGTGTTGAGGGTCTCACTACTAGATTGGACTCATAGTGATCTGCCTATTTACAGCCTCCCGAGAGCTGGGATTACAGGCACATGCCACCATGCCCAGTCTCAATTGCCATCCCAGGCCCAGCAGGCCCCGGGGATTGAACCCCTGGCCCCTGTACCTGCTTACAGGCGCTTTAATCCATTGAACTATTTGGCCAGCCCACAACTTCTGGTTTAAAATATCTTATTGTAGTGGAGCATAGTGGTGCATGCCAGTAATCCTAGCACTGAGGAGGCTGAGGCAAGAAGAGCACCCTAAGCTTGAGGACAGTCTGGGCTGCATTGTGAATTCAAGGCCAGCCTGGAGTACATATCAAGACCCCGTCTCAAAAAACCAAAGAAGCCCAGCAAAAGAGACCACATTGTATTTACTGGCCCAGAAGTTCTTTGACCCCTGTCACTTAAGGAGTTTTCATGGAGGCTTCAGTGCCACACAGGCCTTTTGATAAAATCTTTGCTCATTGGTGGTTAACTCAGTCTCTAGCCCCTCCCCTTTAACTGGGTTCTGTATGAGGCTAACAGTCCTAACCTTCTTTCTGATCAGGCCTTGGCTTTTCTAGTGACCACCACCTATTCTGAAGCAATCCAGGGACTCCAGGAACAAGCCATTCATTAGCATACAAAAAATTCCAGGGTTTTTAGGAGCTATGGTAGGAACTGAGATTGATCAAATGTGTATCTTTATCACACTAATAACAAATTATTATTTTAAATAACATTATTTACAAGTCATGCTCTTTAATCAGAAACAAGGTAGTAGCTTTCAAAGCTTTATTACTTCACAGAAGTGTCTGGGAGCCTTCCCTGCTGAGGTAGGAGGCAGACAGTCTTCCTTTCACTATTGTTCTGGTCCCCTTTGCCCTGTCCACTTAAGAGAATGTACCCAGCGTATTCAGAGGTAGGATCTGGAGCACAGTACTCTTTACTGTTTCTACTGTAGTTCCGGTTTAAACTGTACTAGTAGCTGGACCTGAGTATGTGAGGGGATATATTTTAACCTGTGGCCTGCCATATTCTTGGAGCTTTCTCTGACACAGAGGGGCCCATTGAGTATATCTCTACTCAGATTTATTCTAATTCTTTTGAAATGAAATGTGAAATTGCATTGAAATCTTTAACTTAGTATTTTAGAAATAAGTGCCTCATTTTTAATGTGGTTTGTATATCTGCTTTTTTTTTGCCTAGATTACCAGAGACTGATGACTGTGGCAGAGACGATTACAGCGCTCATGTTTCCTTTCCAGTGGCAGCATGTCTATGTCCCTATTCTCCCAGCTTCTCTCCTGCATTTCTTAGATGCGCCTGTTCCCTACCTGATGGGCTTACACTCTAATGGACTGGATGACCGGTCAAAGCTGGAGTTGCCTCAAGAGGTAAGAGCCTGAGAGTTGGTGTCTCTGACCTTAATCCAGGGAGACAGGAGCTTTGGTATGAGCCCAGAATGTATCATCAATTTTATTTTGGAATATATGAAAAAAATACAGTCAACCTTTAGTTTAATTTATATTATTCTAGAGACAGCATTTTTATCAGCTGTATGTTATAACATTTTGTTTATGAGCTTCCTTTTTTGTACACATCTTTTTTTTTTTTTTTTTTTTTTTTTTTTTGTGGAACCAGGGATTGAACTCAGGCCCTTGTGCTTGCCAGGGAAGCGCTTATTCCACTGAGCCATCTCCCTGGCCCCTTGTACACATTTTAAAACATGGTATTTTATATACTTTTAATATTTATTTATTTTTATTTATTACATTTATTTATTGTGTGTGTGCGTGTGTGTGTTTTTGTGTGTGTGTGTGTGGCCAGCTCAGCCCACCAGGGGGCGGGGCTGACTGGCATGTGGTGCTGGAGGATTGAACCGCGGTCCCTGTGCTTTGCCAAGCTTGTTTCAAGTAGGTGCTTTAGACCACTGAGCCATCTCTCCAGCCCCTATATACTTTTAAAGAGATGTGTTAGAAAAATATTTTATTATGTGTAACTTCTACCCAAAAGGATAGCATAATGAACCTCTGTTCTCAACAGCCAACTTTAATTTTTATCATGTGTTAACTTGTATTTTACTTCTAACACCATTTACATCGTGTTATTTTACATCCTACTTAATATAATTTAATTACTACCTTAGTACTTAGATGTATAGTAGTGGTTTTCTTTTATAGGTCACAGTTGATCCAGGCAAGTTGACCAGATTATAGTAATTCTTGTGGTCCTGAGCCATTTTGAAGACTTTCCTAATTCAAGATAAAGAAGGCCTTGAGGAAATTCTTTTTCTTTGTTGCAGTGGCCTGCTCTTCCTCTTATTTCAGATTCGAAAAGAATTGATAAAAAATATTTATTTCTTTTTTCCTTCTAAAAAATAGCTTGAAAGTATGGTTAGAAATAAAATACATTTGGTGCTGAAAGTGTGACGTGCTGGTGAGGACTTTCCTAGTATGGACAAGGAAGGTCTGGGTTTGATCCTCAACACTACATAGAAGAAAAAAAGATTATTTTACTTTTTGTTTTCATAGACTTAGCAAAAGAACTGGATTGTTGAAATATTATTTTGTGACTGATAAGAAACTAACTGGTTATGGAGAAAAACATTTTCCTACATTTCTTATTTATTAGGAGGTGCTGGGAAGAAGTTTTTGGAGTACTGGTGTTAACGTGATTCTTTTTAGAATTTTATTTATCTTTTTTTTTTGGTACTATGAGAATTGAACTCAGGACCTTGCTGTTACCAGGCAGGTGCTAAATTACTGTTTCCTCTCTCTACCATTTCTCCCAGTGCTGTAGGTTTAAATAAGGGCCTTCTAGCTGTGCTAGGCAAGTGTCCCACTGAGATACCTTGGAGCTGCTCTGAAAACTTTTGGGGGGCATATTTTTATATGTAACTGGGGAGTATGAGTAGGGAGACCGCTGTAGAAGAGGTCATTTCTGTGGAATTTAATCTGAGCAGCAGTTACGTCACTGGCATGTTTGTGCAGCATCCCCGATGAATGTCCCTGATCATTAGACTATATCTGTGATACTCATAGGCAGATGCCTCTTTGCTTCCCCTGCTTCCTTTGTTTTTAAAATCAAAATGTCTTTCTGTAAGTGCCCTCCATTTCCTCTCTTTTTTTTCTCCTCTGACTCTGTAGAGTTTTGTGTTCTTCTAGGGTAGGACAAGGTTATTGAAAGGAAACAAAACCTAAATGTTGGTGTAAATTATTATTACATTGTTTTGTGTACTTGCCTGCTATATACATAAATGTACATGAAGAGCAGATGTCAAAGACTGGCAAAGTCTTCTGGATGGTTAACAACCTAAGTTTGCAGACCAAAATTAGAGAAAAAGGAGGGCTGCAAGGAAAGCCAACATTTTGGCCCTAGTCTTCTAAGGTCAATTAAGACTCAGGACATATGAGAACTTGTACTGTAATGTCATGTACCTTGGTAGTGTCCCAAATTTTCTGATCAAGGAGATTATGGGGACAAAGAGGAAAGTGATCAATGATGTATAGTGTGCCTGAGGAGAGTCACATAGAGAGAAAACATTCTCTTAGGCTTTCACAGAGAGCACATTGGCCAAGCAGTGTCCGTGACTCATCCACATGGCTGACACTGACTAAGGTTCTACAATCTGAGGTACAAGATCTCAGGATAAATCCTGAGGGGATTTCACTGACCTCAGACCCAAAAGCTACAACTCTTGTTGCATAGGTCCTGCTTTACCTTGGTCTTAATCATCCAGTAGAAAAGTATAAAAACGAAATATAAGAAGTAAAGCCATGCTGTTATGTTGAGCTGTGGGGGACTCAGATCAACAATTTCTGACATTGCCAGTAAAGCGGAAGACCCAATACTATTATGGGCTACTGGACTCTTTTAGAATATTTTGCTGAGTTTACACACCTATAATATTCA